GTTGCATGGATTAAAAAAAAAAATAAAATAGTAATAGTAATTTCGGCTACTCTTGGTTATATCGACATTTTTTTAGTAATTGGAGGCTATCTTTTTTTTTGTTCTCCGACAATAGTCCATTAGAAATAAGCATTTCTAATTTCACTTAAAAATACATGTATTGTTTAAATTAACATTCTAAACATGTTTTAATGTAATTTACTTTTTAATACTCTAAATTATATTGTTAAAMATAATGTAATAAGCGTTCGTTAAATACAACAACTCAGGTGATAATAATAAGACGCTGCACAGAATACATAATTTAAATTGTTACTTTTTTCTTGGCATATTAAACCATAATTAAAAACGTATGTCAGCTATTACGCTTGGTTTATCTTACGTGAAAATAATTTGTTTCTAAGATGTTTTAAATGATTATTATTTATTAATTTTTTTTTTTTAACGCGGAAGGTGGTAACGGAAAACTAAAAGGTGCCAAGAGACCATCACCTTGATGTAGTCAATATCCGTATATACGTTTAATTTTTTTTTTTTTTTATTATTAATTAAAGGCTTCAAATACAAATGTTTATTAGCCTACAATGGTTTACATGTTTAATTTATAATATAATGGAGATTTGATAGTTGTGATGTGCTGTCTTTGGTTCTTGTCTTATATGTTGGTTGTAAGGTCGGCCATCTTGATGAAGTTTACTATGTTTTTTTATTGTCCTGGTCCGAGTGCGTCTTTGAGTGAGGAGGTGTTTATGTTTGCTTTTGATCTGGCGTTATGGTAAGTGGGGCATTCTAGGAATATATGWTTAACGGTGAGTTCRMAGTTGCATGTTTCACACCTGGGTTTGAGCTCTCTACGCATAAGATAGGAGTGGGTGATTCTGGTATGTCCGATGCATACTCTGGCGATCATGGTCTCTTCATGTCGTGTAAGCTTGACTGGAGRGTCCGGYCATTTTTTGGTTAATGGTTTTATTTGTCTGAGTTTATTGTTTTGGTTGGATTGTTTTTCCCATTGATTCTGCCAGAGGGTGTATAATTTCGTTKTGAGGGCGCGGATTACATCGTCGTATGTTACATGCGGGTATATTTTGTTGTCCGGGGAGCTAGCAGCTTTCAATCCGTTTAATTATATTCGATATAACTAGTTTTGTTTTCTCGTAGGTAAGTAAATATCACGTACGCGAGTGTTTATTCCTCCAATAATTTCCGTTATACAATTCATAAACTACAATAAGTGGAGAGTGCCTAGCTCAGCGTTTGGCATGGATAATATGCCATATTATGATACCACTCTAATGTCCGACTTGTCTTAATGCAATCGAGGTTTGATCGATATATTTTGAAATATTAAATACCATGAGAATATATAGTTAAGGGAACACATGTTTTCTATTTATAAAAAAAATTCCCGACAGGGTCGTGGACATTTGTCTTCCTCATTACATATAGTTCACCAAGTTTAGGATAATAATTTACTCATATTGTTATTTTCTATTCATATTTTGACAAATTATTAAAAGGCTGAGTCTACCAAATATGCTTTTCATGATTTGTTACGATATTATGACCCCTCGATTAAAATACTCTTAGCTGTATTCTAAACCTTGTTTAGAACCRCCACCGTTATCATGTTGCATAATATAAACGTTTATCCGCAGCACTCTTTCGTGGGAACATCCCTTTCATATGTTGATTGTTTTTACCATCATTGCTAAATTCGCGAATCACAATGAGTATTTGAAAGTTTAATAAATGTCTTGTTCCGATCACAATTTTCATCTCAATAATAAGTATGATTTAACCACAATATTTTACTGAAAATTCGAGAGCATACGTTAAAATATTTCTTTTATTATGAAACATTGTAATTGATTTCGATAAAAATTTGTTGGTATGATTTTCTAATTTTTTAGCATAAGTAATTTTATTTGTTTTTCCATCAGAGAAATTAATATTTGAATTAAGCTATCATTCTTGAGTATGTTTCAATAAATGCATATGTCACTAAACCACAAAGATAATGTCAAACTAATCGAAATCGTAAAGTATACTCCACTTCCAAATTACAACATTACCAATTACAATTACAACATTAAAAATTAAATAGATTTCTTACATTTTTGTTAATTTATATTCAATATACTAGAAAATCGGCACCTTGCAGGTAATTATTTCTGAATATTTTTATTTTTATTAAGACGTTCTGCTTTAAATCAAGACATAATAATATACCTACGCCACTGTGATAATGTTTTATTAGGTATAATATTCATTTATATAATATAAAAATACTTGAGATAGCTTGTAATAATTTATTTTAGTGAAATCTGAAAAAATTCTCCAGTGTTGTACATGTTTATTAAATTATATTGGTCATAAACATTTTGCTAAAAAATAAACTGACCTCATAATTTCGTAATAGCAAAATAATTAGTAACGATGGCATATGATTTGTCTTTTAAATTTTCAACTGTTCTTCATTGCACCTCGAGAAATGAAAAGTGAAAAGTCTAAAAGTTATTCCTTATAGAATTAAAATCGAAAAATCATCTTCAATTGACATTAATATGATTGGAAAAGCTGTAGGTACTGTTAATTATATAAAAAAATATTCTTTCCAAGATCCAAATCTTACCAGGTAGGTAATAGATGTGACTAGAAGACTTGAAGTTTGGCTGTTAGACACACCCAGAAATACAAATAGCTTAAATGTAATCCTCCAATTATCTCAAACCTTTCACAACTAAAGCTTCTTTATAAGTAATCTCAAGTGGAAATTTTATTTAAAACACAGTTTTATCGTACTCGTAATAACCAATAAGGCATAATAATTATAAAACACAACCTTATACTTAGATACAATAATATTGGTACTTAAAAAAAAAAAAATGTGGAAGGGTGCTAATTTAAGACACCAGCTAAGGTGCTAAAAACACCTCTAGCTCCCACACCATGAGAGCCAGTTGAGCTGACCAAAAATCGTAATGTACATTGAGAATTGCGGCCGTGCTGGAATCGAACTTAGGGCTACTGCAGTCTTAATGTGTAAAAATAATAATTCGTCGGTCCGCGGACGTTTGGACGTTTGCCCTCGGCGTTCTGCACGGACCGTCGCCGTCGACGTATCCTTCTCGACAGTAATAATAATAATAATTTAATCTCAAAACACCCACAATCTGACTGCAACTACGTATCCACCCACCCCGCGGTCGTCCCCACCGAGCCCGGATCATTAACACTATCCGTTGGCTCTCCCTCCAAACCGCCAACGGATAAGATGTGTATCCATTTCAATGCGTTATGTTATATATATATATATATATATATATAATATTTATATATGTATACGAAAATGTACAATAATATATTATTATAAAAATATCACAGGCACCACAACAATAAAATAAAACGCTGACTTGCGGTGGTACTCCGAGCCAGCCAACTCCTCCGAGACGTCTGCAGTATTATTTATATAAATAAATTGCATCTAGCTTTCCACCGATTTCGTTTATTTTCTTCTCCTCAGTTTTACTATTTTTTTCGCTTTACGCCTCTGTTTTCGTTCATTTCTTTCAGTCTGGTTTTCATTCGATTGACCGCCCCCTATTATAATAATAGTGATAATAGTGGACTCGTAACCGAGCACGCCATCATCGTATTATAATATTATTCTGTTGCACTCGCCRGTCGCAGCACAGAGAAAACGAAATAAAAATAATAATAATATTAATAAATTTCCGACGCTGACGCAGCCATCGCCGCCGCGTAACTCCATCCGGAAGACAGCCGAGTCGTGAGTTCGTCCGCCGCGCGTACACCGTCCACTTGTGTAATATTACAATAATTAATATAATTATTTTACACCGCAGAGGCGGCCGATTTAACTGCGAATTTTCCGCGCTGGCCAATAATACATAATATTGCCATCACCGCCGAAAACCCACTGCACTAGGTGAATATTTAAATTATAATATTATTATATCGTTTTTTTTTTTTTGCGGTGAAAAACCATCACACGACTCGATGAAGTAACCTTAAATAATATAACAATATATTTGTAAGATAACACTTCAGAATAGTAACAATAAAATAGACGATTATTATAATATCCGTGTAAAAATTGTGTTGCTTTAGTTCGCATTAACCCTATTGGTACATGAGCTTAACCTTGAGCTTTTGTGGTATTTATTTATTTGTATTTCGAAATCTTATCGTCGGTGCATAATATAATATAAGGCTACCTTCGTCTAAAGATCGGAATTATGGGCACTAAAAATATGGTACGCATAAAAATGATAAAATATCATGGAACAATATTCACAAAAGCATTCGAATTGTGCAGTAAAAATTGTGCATTGAAAATCTACACCAAATTCATGAAAATAATTAGGTAATAAACATTGATAATAAAATAAGTATAATACCAGGGTTAATTTTGTATCTTTGAWACTTCTAAAAATAAATATATCCTTGACGATTTAAATTAATTAATTCTCGAATGACATATTTAACATATGTCATTCATAAACATATGTCATAACATATATCTTACACGTCTTCTGAGKAATGAAGAAATAGTTTATTTATTTATCAAAAATGAATAAATTATACAAATTACGCCTTGACGCTTCTGATACTTACGCATAGATATGCAAATTAAAATTTTTCTGATTAATCTGATTTGAAACATCCATATATTGATCACACATTCCAGCCCTCGTGTGCACTCACCATGCATACACAAATGCATTTAATTCCGATCTCTAGATACCTGTGTACATAATACATACATATGCAACGGGCTTGTAATTACGTTTCCAGTCGGTAACATAATAGTTATATARTAATATTTGTACGGTCGAATCGTCACCTGCTATCCTGCAGACACCGCTGACCCGTAGCGTACTAGTATAATATTATTATTGTACCTGCTTGTGGTTTGTGTTTTTTCTTTTTATTGATTTTAAAATCTGAAATGTTTTTACCCCGTTTACCGATAGGCCACCGAAGATAAAGTCGGAGTAAAACGGTTGCCCAGAGACTTTGCCGAGCAACTGCGCTTCGACGAGTACGCGCAACAGACGACCACAACCACCTCCACAACCACCTCTACCACCACCGACGAGTATAGGCCCGTGGCTTTAGACAAGATACCGGTACCTTCGTGCGGCGGACATTTGACAGGTGAGAATTGAATTGATAATTATTAATTGGTATTAATTTTAGTGTAGATAGCAACAATAGCCAATACGTATTTTAAACGCACGCGACACATCCAACAGTGTCTGTTTAAGCACCTATTTTTTATTTATTAAGTCGTGACGCAAATCGAGCACGACAATAATGTAAGAGTCTTAGTTGTGGAGGAACACGATGGCATTCTCGCGGTTTTCGCGATCTACTTGAGGTGGTGAATTATAAAGATTTATCAACGTATGCCTTTGCCGCACATAAATATTTGCATCTCTGTCATATTTATTTTATTATCCATCCAAGCCCCCTTGCACTATGAATCTTGTGATGCATGGAATATTTTTCTCTATTTCCGAAAAAAATAAACATATTTTATAAAACATTTTCATAATAGGATAAATTATCTTGGTGATAATAATATATTGGTGCATMCACAAGGATMGAAAAATATTCTACAATTTTCATATGTGATAAAAAAACATGAAAACTGTTAACGTGACATTTKTCACGGATAGTGATATTAGCAGAAAATGTCTACTATGAAATTTCCATCTGATACATTTTTTAAATAAAAATTTCGAGTTACCCATTATCTTTAATTTAATTTAACAAATTTCATAACATCCATCTTTTGATAATTTACTGATAATATTATGTTAATTTATGATTAATTAGTTCACTGATAAAATATAAATATAATATAATACCTATATATTAAAGAGTGTTAAATATTGAGCATCAAGTCAAAATACTGAACACTAATGATATATAATATTTCTATACACAATTTTATAAAATTATTAATGAACCTAAAATATTAAGGTTGTACCTATTTAAAGTTGAAAATGAAATGGATAAATTATATATAATTACCTATGTTTTTGAAATGTCTTGAATTTTCCAATTAAATTTTCATTTAACATCTTTAGCCGTATGCCTACAATGYGATTACTTTATGATATTATTATTATATTGTATTTGGTCTAAACACCCACTAAATAATAATAGCACCTGTTGGCATTTGAAATTGTGTATCGATTTTGTATCAGTACAGCCTCGTCTTAACATACTAAATTATTATTAGCCGTGATGAGACTTAGACGCTCTCGTTTACGCGTAGATCAGCGACATTTGGCCACGTCTTCCGGCGTGACGATATTAAATCTATTACTAATACAATAATACGAGTACCTATGTGATAAATTAAACAATATTATTATGTCATTACTCAATTAGTATATATTATTATGGCGTTGGATATATGATAATAAATTTCATTATTATTGATGGTGATGTRTTTTAAGTAGCTCGTCTCAGCCAAAAATACTCTCACACCTCGTAAAATAGTTAGATTTTGATATATATATTTTTTTTTGATTTGATAAGCAAAGAATTAACGTAGGTCGGTCTAGTAATATTGGAATTGAGTTAAAAAATATTATACTGTTTTCAAAAGTCGTAATAAACATTTTTATGTATCACAAATTGTTGAGTATGTTAAAATAAAAAGGTATATTTTTTTAGTTAATCAAAAAATCAAAGTTCTTAATATCAAAATCTTATGAAAATTCTAAGACATATAATTTCTAAATGTGTAATTTGGCCGCCATAAAATTGGTTACACCGACAGAAATTATAAAAATAAAATAAAAACTAATTTACCGGAAAAACGATTTCAGTATTTCACCATAAGGATTTTGATCGGAAAACGCGTGGCTCCAACTAGCTTAATTAATATTTGATATTTCAAACGAACGATTAAACAACTGCCACAGAAAAAAATAAAAATWAAAAATATTTTAATACGGTAGAAAGTTATATGTCCCGAATTTTTTACTCATTTCTGTAAAAACTTAAAAGGAAAAATCCTAAATACAAAGCTATAGTATACTAAACTATACTAGTGGGCAACATMTTGGAGATAATATATTTTGATTCAATAAAAAAAARGTTTTTCAAATGGATAATAAATATTAAATTTAAAAGTGGTTCGATACCGCCAGCGTTTTTCACAGAAACAAACATATATTTTGTTCTTTGTATTAATAAAACCAATTTTGCAGTAATAAATCTAAGAACATATTTAAATTTATTTTACAGATTATTTGAAATCGATAATTTCACTTTTTAAAATGTTGACTCAGCCCCATATATTTGATTTTAAAATTTAAATATTGRAGAATTTTCAAGCAAATTTTGAAATGTATACATGTTTTTCAATTTTTCATTACATAACTGATATACATTTTACGAAACAATGGAGAAAATGTATGAATGGTTTTAAATGTTTACTGTTTAATAGACAATATTACTCACTAACTACAATGCAGTTGACTATATGTGCGTCAGAGGTGGACTTTATCACTAATCAACAAGGGGGAGGTGAATATAGACAAAAAAAATGTGACTAGTAGCTAAGTGCATAAGCTTGCGTCTACAAATTATACTATTTTAATATAGGTACTTTAAGTTTTTAGAAATAAAATAAAAATGTTTTTTTAACTATTTTTTATGTATTTTATATTTCTTTATAAAATCATGTTATTCGAAACTTACTAAAAAACCATAACCTAGACATGGAAGTACTTATTTATATGGTAGAATTAGGTGAATATACATTTTTTAATTCCAATATTATCCAATTCAAATTAATTCTTCGATGACGATCCGGCTTTGATATTTTACCTTTATATTTTTATAAGAATCAACAAATCATATAGTTGTAAACTGTTGTCTGTTATCATATTTAAAAAAAAACTTAAGTAACGATGGGAGAAGTTTACCACAGGTTACCCACATTATCCCTCMTTAAACTAGATCCTGATTTGAACATACTGGTTTATGTGAGGAGTGAGAACTTAGGATCAAGTCGTCTATTTTATTTAAGACGCAATAACAATCATTTACTACACACACACACACACACATTCACAAATGTACATAACCCACATAGAATGTTGCTTAAATTTTACATCTTTAAAGACGATGGTTATAGAACACTTTTTGTGTACAATAATAAACAAACATTTAACTTAACGAATATTATTTAGTTTTTTTTTGTCTGTCTAAAAGTATCAATATTTTACCAATATTGGCTCTGTCGTAATGATATCAACTTATAGTTGTTATCTGAGTGACATTTTTGAAATTAAATTTTGTTGATCTTTATAAAATAAACAACAATGTCTAGCCTTGCGATAATTAAATCCAAGTACGGCAACATTTGTTTAAAAAAGCATTCCATGTTTCTTAAAATTATTTTACGAGACACAAGTATACCTAAAATATATTCCCAGTAAATACTGATAATAACTAATATGAATGTTTATTTTTTTATAATTTATTATGTGTAMGAAATTCAAATTAAATTCTATCTTATAAGTGAAAAATTGATAAATTTATTACTGACTAGTGACTACGATACTAGACACTCGTCTAGTCAAATTTATAGTGGGTATAGGTAGTGAATACTCACTCATCCAAAATCTGCTCTTTGTTTCCTGTTCTGTTTGCATCTATCTTTTCGTAATTTCCTATGAGATTTGTAAAACAATTACGTACACCTATTWAAACTGTTCAATGTACCTAAAATTTGAATWTTTCGTTTCAATCTATTGCGGCAATACTTTWAAAAAARAATTATAAGTCGTCCTCACATCACTGTCTCTGAGGCTCAGTGAATATTAAATCTWTAACACTCAATTATGTGTGGGCATTAATGAAAGATAAATACTAGAAAATAAATACCATTACTTAAAAATAAGATTAATTAGAAGATTAGATTTATAAAGGAAGATTGTGGGATGTTTGAAAAATTTTATTTTTTTGAGTTTAATGTTGCAGTGGTAGGTAAATAAATGATAAATTGTTGCTGCAATAATGGCCAAACAGTAAAGTTGACCTAAAACGTTATTACTCTGCTTCGTTGCCTTTGAATTGACAAAAATTTCGATTTCACACGAAAATATACTAATTATTTGAAAACAACCTACTCGTATAATTATTGTTGTCTGCGACGCTACATCATAACGTGGACGGTCGAGATTAATAAACAGTCAAAAATTTGATTACATTCCAAATCATATATATGTATACGAAAGAACAATTCGCAAATAGTCAAGTTTCGAGGTTGTTCTATTTTAAAAAGCAATCTTCCCTAAAATATTTGAAATATATAAATGAAATTAGATACCTATACTCATTACTTATTTCCAGATATAACTTTTCATGCTTATTTGTCAGAGAACACGCATGCTAATATACTCATCTGAATTATACCATAAGTCCTATCATATTAATTCGATCCACATTCAAGTCAATTGAATTTAGAAAACTATAAATGATTTGAAAAATAAATTAAATATACTTCATTTTATTTTTAAATTCTTAAGAACCTTAGTTTGAAAATAAATAAATGCTATAGGTACTAAAGAAATTTTTCATTTTATTATTTCCTTGTTAATTATTCCAGTTAAACAAATGAGACTTAARCAAGTCATTATGAGTAGAAAATGTTCAATATTACGAACACTGTTGTAAATATGTAATACTGAAAATAGTTTGTTATTACTGGACTTACAAGTAATATTGAATAATATTAATAAATTACCTCTCACACTAAGCAGGCCTTAGATGTTTTAAGCTTGAATACTTATAAAACAATATTTGTTATGGAAAAAAAATAGTGAACAATTCAGCAAAATACACTAATACTCTGGCTGTAATAATAATTATTGTTCTATTAATTTTTAGGTAGGTCCTTTTCATAAACACTCGCATTTAAATTTCTTATCCCCACATTGTCTGGTTATACATTATATTATTATTTTAATAGAATAACGCATGTTATGAACTGCGTTTTAGCGTTTACCTTTGAATGCTATGCCAAGAACTTTTTATATTTATCATTAATCTGCTCGCTCTTTTTTTCTTACCGTTTTTATGTGATAGTTTTAAAAATAATGTTTGCTTTGTAACAAAAAAAAATAATA